TGCTGCTGTTGAATGGTCTCTGGGAGGACGGAGAGGGTGGGGGAGAGGGAGGGGGAGAGGGTGGGGGAGAGGGTGGGGGAGAGGGAGGGGACGCTGGAGACGGGGGAGAGAGGGACAGGTGGGGGTTCCCTCACCTCCTCCCCGTCCCCCACGGCCCCAAACCTCTCTCCTTCCTTCCTGAGAGTGAGTTAACACTTCCCAGAACGACCCCGTCTCTCCTCCGCTAGCCAAGGCGGCCATTGCTGGTCACAAGCCCCCTCCTCTCCCAGACCCCGGGGCTGACCGTCCACAGTCACGGTGCTGGCAGGGCTGGTCCCTCCAGGGGCGGTGAGGGAAGGGCCCCCCGGCCTCTCTCCTTGGCCTGTGGGCGGGGGTCTTTTGCCTGCCTGGCTCCAACAGCAGCAGCTCACTCCTCACAGATCTGCAGCTGAGAAGTCTGGGGTCAAGGCCTGGCACACAGGAGGTCCACGCTGGGCTTGTGGACGTCTGCCCTCCTGCCGCGTCCTCTCCTGGTCATCCCTTAGCAGGTGCTCAAGGAAAGAAGGCCACCTGTGTCCCTCTTCCTCCTCTCCTAAGGGCACCGATCCCGTCATGGGGACCCTGCCCTCATGACCCCTCCCAAACCCCCTTCCCAAGACCCCTCCTCAAGCACCACCCTGGGGGCTAGTCCCTAAGGACGCCACCTCTGATGCCACCTCTGATGCCACCTCTGGTCTCTCTGCACCTTGTCCTTCCTCCATGCAAGTCTGTCTGTCAAACTCCCCCTTTCATCAGGAGGCCGTCGTATTAAATCAGGACCCACCCCCAGGGCCCCATTTTAATCTCTCTCTGTTAAGACCCAGTCTCCAGTTGAGATCCCCTTCTGAGGGGACCTGGGGACATGGGCATCTGTGGGGTAACCACGTCAGCCCAAGGGCCAGACTCGGTGCTTCTCGGGGCTGCGGGTTCCTCTGGAGGGACCCACGCGCCCAGGTCCCAACCCTTTGCCACAGGAAGCTCCTCCCGGTCTGACCCCAACCTGCCGCCATGGGAAGTCCCTCTTCCATCCTCTTAAAGTCTCCTTTTTCTCTTCTGGATCCTCAGGGTTTGAGTCTCCGTGTAGCTAAACACAAGCACCTCCCTCCCCCGGGGAAGGAGACAACATCAGGGCACTAGGCACGAGGGCCCGGGCGGGTGGCATTCAGTGGCCTCCTGAGCTCCAAAGCCAGATGCCCTCAGGGACGGGCAAAGGAGGGTAGGTCCCTGGTTGTGGTTCCGAAGCCCGAGGGCCGTGGTTTAAAAATAGGCGGGCTGCAGTCGGCTTCTCCACGGCCCCGAAATAGAGTGGGAATTGATCTCGTGCGACTTTTGCCTCGGATAACATCGTTATTTGTGAAATGATGTCAGCGGTGCTCTTGCCAAGTCAGCAAGCGCTTACAGGACGTGGCTTCTAATTTAGGACTGGGACTATTTGTGGCTCCTCTGAGGAGGCAGCAAGCAGAAGCCGCTGGACTCGCGGTGGCCAGGTTTCTGACCGCCCTGGCACAGGAGCCTGGATCTGCCCCGGACGTGCCCTGCCCAGGGGCCTCTACAGGAAGGACCTGCCGCCGTCTCCAGGGAGAGTGGTTTGCAGGTGGCCCCTGCAGAGACCCTGGGTCACCAGGCCGGGCCTTTCCCGGCCAGCTCCAGCCTGGGACTTAGTGACCCGGCTCCACTTCTCCCCATTTCCAGTGGGTTTTCTCCTCCTTCCTTCCCCTGATGTGTGATCCTATTAAAAAATAAAATAATGAAGTTCTTCATAGCCCAGACTCCAACCCCGGAGAGACCCCCCGAGACAGGTGGCTCAGCAGTTTCTGAAGCCCATGCCAACGTCCCTCGGTCCCTGTGGTGCTCCTGAAAGACAGTGAGTGGGACTGTCCCCTCCCACCTCGGTGCCACCTGCTGCGGGATCCTTGGTGGAGTTTCGAGTGTCAGAGCCTTCTACATTATTTAAGAATCTAATGCCAGATTGTCATTTGTTTGGCTTCCATGAAACGAAGTAAAAGTATCGTTTGAAAGGACAGCCGTTTCTTCATTCAAAAATTACTTTTTCTGTCAGGTGCGGTGGCACGTGCCTATAATCCCAGCAGCTCGGGAGGCTGAGGCAGGAGGGTCTCGAGTTCAAAGCCAGCCTCAGCAAAAGAAAGGCGCTAAGCAACTCAGTGAGACCCTGTCTCTAAATAAAATACAAAACAGGGCTGGGGGTGGGGCTCAGTGGTCAAATGCCCCTGAGTTCAATCCTGGGTACCTGTCCCCCACCAATTACTTTTTGGGGGGCATAATTGCCACGTTCCAGGCACTGTTCTAGGTACTCTGAACACCATGATCTATTAGTCTCAAGGGCCCCCGAGAGCTGGTGCCTGGGAGTCGAAACACAAGGCGTTGGGATTTCTGGTCCATCTGCATCTCCCCCCTCTGCCCCTGTCACCCCTTCTCTGTGGGACCCTTCTGCCCACACAGCCTTCTTCTTGCCTGATGCACGATCGTGGTCATCCTCTAGATGGAGTGTTCCCTCTCCTGCATGCTTCCCTGTCCCTGAACATACACCCAAAGAGAAATGGTCTTGCTCACCTCCACCCTCATGCTCACCTCCACCCTCATGCTCACCCCCACACCCACACCGAGGCTGGTGCTGCCCACTGTCTCCTTTTACCCATCCATCAAATGGGGGTAACAAGAGCTTCCTCACCTCCTATAGCTGGGTGGAGAGCTAAGTCAGTGTAGATTTTTTCAAGGCCTGAGACTCGCGCCTGATCCATCGAAAACATTTACAAAATATAAGCCAATGGAATCACAGACATCCATCATGGTGCTTGAAACGATTGCTAATAATACCTAACACGTATTGATCAGCTCTGCGCAGGGACCGTGCTCATATCTGACATGGATTTGTAAAAAGGCAGGCCTTCTAAAAACCTGACGGGGAAGGTACTACGACTCCTCCTGTGTTGTAAATGAGGAAACCGGGGTCTGTACTGTGGCCACTGTTTGCTTCTAGTCTTTTCTCCTTTCTCAGGCCGCTGCCTTTGTGAAGCAGGCAACCACGTTTTATTTGTTTTTCTGTCTCCAGTTGTTAGCGTAACGTCTTTGGGTCAATAGCTATTCGGTGAGTGAGGGTAGGATTAAATAAACTAACGAAGCAGAAAGGACCCCTGTGCAGGAGGTGGAGAAAGAGGACCCACAAGAGAGGTCTGACTTCCCTAAGGAGGAAGGTGCAGCTCCATCCAAGCCAGAGCCCAAGGAGTTTCCCATGAAACTAGCACTTCTCATACCTGAGCGTGCACAGGGAACCATTCGGGAAACCTTGTTAAGATGCAGATTCTGACTCAGTGGGTCTAGGGTGGAGGGCAAGACTATGCATTGCTACTAGTTGCTGTGTTAATCAGCTTTCCGGTGCTATAACAAAATACCTGAGGCAACTATAAGGAGAAAAGGTTTGCTTTGACTCTATGGTTCTGGAGGTTTCAGCCCAAGATCAGGTGGGCCCCTGGCTTCCGACCTGCTACCACTTCACAATAGAAGCACGTGCTGGAGAAAACACTTATATCACAATCTGTGGGTAGCAAAGAGAGAAGGAGGAAGGGCCAGGGTCCCCCAGTCCCCCGCAACGGCATGCGCCCGGTGATCTGAATACTTCCCATTAGGTTTCACCTCCTAAAGGTCCACAGCCCGGGGACACACTCACACCCAAACCACAGCATCTCTCATGTGTCACACCTGGCCTCTGATCACTCTTGGAGTAGAGACACACAAGGCCACTTGTGCCCCTTGGCTCGATGCCCGCAAACCATACAAGCCAACAATGGTCACGTGAGTGAAAGAACGGGCTCCCTGGGGGACATGCACAGGAGCTCTGGCCCGTTTTCCATTGTCGTGATAAACGTACCAACTTAGAGAGCCACGTCGAGGAGGAAGAGCTGATTTGGGGCTCGCGGTTTTGGAGGTCCAGCTCTGGATGAGGCAGACCGTCCTGGTGGACGGAGGGGGTGGAGGAGGAGAGCGGCTCAGCTCTGACAGCGGGGAAGCACATGCCAGAAGCCAAAGGCAAGGTCTGTCCTCCCTCAGGGGACGCCCCTGGGGGCCCTGCTTCCTGCAGCCGCACCTCAGCTGCCCGCAGTTAACACCCGCAGTGCATTCCAGTTACCCACCCGCGTGATCCAACAGGCTGGGCCACAGCACCCCTCACCCGACCATGCCACCTCCCACCGCAATACAGGAGCTCTGGGGGGACCCATCTACCCCATCAGAACAACAGAGAAGCATCCGGAATCCAGGAAATGGCGCGGAACCCAGCTCCACGAGAATGGGAATGAACACGTTTTCAGACCTGAACAAGGTGAGGTCCCCGGTGGGGGGGGGGTGCCCTGCTGTCAAGAGAGATCGGGTCCAACTACTTATCACCCTGGAATCCTTCCATTCCGGGCTCACAGCCCCGGGCAGGTATCTGATGAACTCAGTTCGACTCCCCGTCATCGCGGTCATGATGGATAATCTCATCCCGACTGCTGGCCAGGACGGGTGGACATCTTCTTAGAGAAAACCAAAGAGGGGAGCATCCGCTGCACTGCCCAGAGGCGGGGTCAGCGGCCCGGTGGCGGATTCGACAGATGACGAGAGAGAGAGAGAGAGATGAGCGTCCCTTGTGAGCTCCATGCAGACACGACCAAAGCGTGGACAGGCCACGGAGATGTGGGCCAGGAGGGAGACGGACCGTGGACGTGATCTGGAGTTGGATCCCAAGCAGGACAGCCCAGGGGCCGGCGGGCTCCTCCCTGGGGTTAGGAGGCAAGTCCCAGGCCAGGCGCCGTGATCGGCCGATTTTTTTTTTTTTTCTAAATATTTTTTAACTTCATCCCCTTCTCAGTGACTGGCTTTTAAAGGTCATGATATTAACTGTGAAGATGAATCAAGGGATGAGGTCATCTTTCAGGCAGGGAAACCGGGGAGTGGGATGAGCTGGCATTTCCACGCCCCAGAAGAGGCCGACCTGGGCTTTTAAAGAGAGAGCTCTCTGTCCGCCGAGTGTTCTGTGGACGCGGGGAAGGACAGCCTTGCTCCCAGACCTCAGCCTTGCCTTCTCCTCAGAGGTGACTCCTTTGTCTCCAGGTTGGTGACTCTGACCTGGGAAAGCAACATCAGGGTCCCCGATTCTCAGGCCCAAGGCGGGCGCGGACTCTCTCGCCATCACCTCGTCCAACTGTTTGGAATCCTACAGCCGGAGCCCGGTTCTCTGTGCCGCCATAATTTATGATAAAGGCTGGAATGAATCCCCAGACACGGATTTTCTATAAAAGACTTCCTTGTGCAACTTTGTGGCACTAAAAATGGAAAGAAGATGGGGGTGGGGGGGAGGGTGTGTGGGGAGGAGAAGGAAAGGGGGGAGGGCGGGAAGCCCCGGGGGAGACGTCCGTAAGTCTCCAAGGACGCGGGCTCCATTCATCACGGTGACTGTAAAGACAGGGATTTTACTTGGATGGAAAAAGAGTGAATCATCGTGGTTTCTGCGTCTAACGTGAAGCGGGCTGAGAGGATTTCCCTTCCATCTTTCTGGTTCCTCAAGATCCTGTGCACGGGGAGGGGAGAGGGAAGCGCAGAATGTTTTGTATCTACCTGGGAAGGCTCTGCCCAGACTCAGAGGAGGGACTCAGAGGACAGAAGGAAATCTCCCTTTGGTGGCTCTCATCGGGGAGAGAGAGGGAGAGCAGGGGGTGGTGAGGACGGAGAAGGGGACCAAACAGGGCTGGAGGGACTTTTCGGTCTCGTAGGCTATTCCCACCACCGTCCCACCCAGAGCCCGGGAAAGCAGCAGGTAGAAAATCGGACTCTGTCGGTCCCCCCTGGTCCCTGGGTCTCTCCTGCGCCTCTCTCAGGCGATGGCCGGATGCTGTTGGCATGACGCCTCAGACACAGGTCACCCTGTCCTCGGACGCGCCGGCCCAGGGTCAAGCTCTGGGAACGAACGTTGCCCCCAAACGCAGAGAGACGTTTCTCTCTGGTCTTTTTTTTTTTTTTTTTTTTTTTTTATGCGATTACAGTGTTTTAAAGCTGCAAAGACCCCCCCCAGAGGATATCACGTATCAAGAACAGTGTTGAGCAGCCCGTTACATACAAGCACGGCTTTGGGGGAAAACAAACGTGTTCTCCCCACCACGTTCTCTGGGCGCAGGGTGAAAACAGTTCTCTGGAGTTCCTGGGTAAGGAGGCGCCCTTCCTTGCTCAAAGCTGGGTTGAATAGAAGGCTATCAGCCAACGACTTGGCATTGCTCCTTGGCCAGCAAAATGCAAATATTGGGTAATAATTGGGAAGGAGCCCGTCAGGTTGGTTTTCCAACTCCTGGTAGGTCACAGGTGGCCCACAGGCTGTGGGTGACCGAGGGAAGGGGAGGCGATGGAGAGGCTGGGCCGATTCCTTCCAGATCCTTGACACACGTGGCACAATTACCACCTTCCAGCCCATCTACTGATTTTAATTGGTTGCAAGAGACCAAAAGGGGAAAAAAAAATGGAGATTTAAAATTTTACATGGTTTTAAAAGGTGAGCTGTGCGCATAAGGGTTGCAAGATTCGGATGTGGAACCGCTGAGTCAGCACCCTCTGCCGTTCCCTGGACTCTGCTTTCCTCTCCGGGGGCTTCCCTCCTAGGCAGTTCCCTCTGTGTGCACTCACCGTCCACTCAGCAAAGCCAGGAGGACACCTGCCGGACCTAAACCCAGCAGAGAGAGTTGCTTCTCTCCAGGGCGCGGCATGGCGGGTCCGGTTTTGGAGTTGGAGTCCATAGGCTTTGCGTCATCTGGAATCAGTCTAAAGCGTCCCCTTGGCCAGGATGGGCCCATTGGTTGGGGATGGGACCAGATTTATGTAAGGTATTTGGAGACAGAGAGCTGCTAAATGAAGGTGTGGGTGGGTGATCAAGAAAACGCAGAGACTCTTTTACCAATTCTATCTACGGGCTGTTCATCCTTCTGTCCATCCACCCATCCATCTATCCATTCACCCATCCACCCACCCACCCACTGATTCATCCATCTTATACATCTACTCGCCCACCACCCATATATCTCATCCTTCCATCCATCCATCCACCCACCCATCTATCCCCACCCATACATCTTGTCCATCCATCCATGCATCCATCCACACATGCATGCATCCATCCACAGAGCTATCTACCTACTATCACATCTATCCACCTACTCACCCACGTAGCCACTCCAGTAACTAGTTAACGGCCCACACCTTGATTGTAGAAAGCAATCAAACATTCAGTGCCTGGCATATCTTATGTGTGCTTATTAAATATTTTTGGTGCTGGGGATTGAGCCCAGAGGTGCTTAACCACGGAGCCCTTTTCTCACCAAGTATCCAAGGGCCTTGCCAAGCTGCTGAAGCTGGCTTTGAACTCACGATCCTCCTGCCTCGGCCTCCTGAGCCACGGGTGCTTGGCTTCTTATGAGTTCTAAAGCTGAGTTTTTTAAAAAAACAGAATAAACCAACAAAGTCCATCTGACTCTCAATTTTGCATACAATAAAAAGGAGGATCACATCAGCTCACAACAGCTAGTGCCAGAGCCTGGGTCGGCACCTGGTCTCCTCGACTTTCTCAGGAAGAGGCTGCCTCACCTGTTGAGCAGGTGGAGTCTCCCAGCAAGGAACACGCGTTTGAACCATTGCCTAAACACAAGTTTCACGAAAAGGTCTATTTATCGGTGGTTTTATTATTAACCAGTGTTTATTTTTCATCTCAGTATCCTAGCTATCTTTCCGATTGAAAAGTTTACCTTTATGTTAATGTCACGTCTCAGGGAAAAATACAAATGACAATTTTTAATGTCAGAGCCTGGTGGTTCTTATGGCACGGAGCCTTATCCATGAAGCTGCTGCCTGAACCACTGAAATATGCCCCCAGGTTCATATGTGCCTTCATAAGGCTCAGAAATCACCCTGATACGGGTGGGGAGACTTGGAACGTAAGGCTCTGGGAGCACGTCTCTGAGCACGGTTTTAATGATGCCAGCAGAGTCAAGCCGTGGATGGGGGTGGGGTGATGGAACGTGCCTTCACCACAATCATGATGATTATTTTTTTTACACAAATCATATGATTTTTCTTTTGTCCAATTTAGGTGTCTTAGAAGATGAGCACCACCGTTGGAGGGAGAGACCAACCACTCACGAGGTGCCCGGGGCCGGGGTGGGGTGGTGAGTTCCTTGCTACTGAAGGTGTGCCAGAGGCCGGACGTGAGCTTGGCAGGGATTCTGGGGAAGAACGCACGTGCAGAACCTTCACACACCTGTGTCTGTGATTGTCAGCACCCGCCCTCTCGGCACCGCACCATGGGGACCTGTGGCCGCCACCTTTGGGGCAGCAGAAGAGAAGGAAGAGGAGGTGTCAGCTTACGGGGCTCAGAAGTGACGCTTGTCCTTGCTGCTCACAGCCCGTGGGCCAGAATGAGTCACGTGGCCCCAACTAACCAAGGAAACAGGGAATGTAGGTGAGCACTGTCTCCCTGTAAGATTGTGTAAAAGTGCAGAAAATTATAATAAGAAGAAGACCTGTTTCAGAGAGTGGTTTTTAGCATTAAATGAACTGATCCATTTTACCATCCAATGACGGACACTTTGAAATGAATGAGCTGTTACGGTTTGGATGTGAGGTGTCCCCCAAAAGCTCATGTGTGAGACCATGCAAGAAGGTTCAGAGGAGAAATGATGGGGTTCTGAGAGCCTTAACCCCATCAGCGAGTTCCTGAGTGGTAACTGAAGGGGTGGGTGTGGCTGAAGGAGGGGGGCATTGAGGGCGTGGCTTTGGGGTACCTATTTTGTACCTGGCCTAGCCGGGCGACATGCACCTGTAATCCCAGCAACTCAGGAAGCTGATGGAGGAGAATTGCAAGTTAGAGGGCAGCCTCAGCAACTTAATGGGGCCCTAAGCAACTCAGCAAGACCCTGACTCAAAATAAAATCGAAGAGGTGTGGGTGGGGCTGTAATTCAGTGGTAAAGCACCCCTGGGTTCAGTCCTATGGGTGGTGTACACCCTCCTCCTCTTCACCTCAGCTTCAAAGATCACCCTATAGTCTGGTGGGGCCAGTTAAAAAGACACTCTACAAAGCCCCCAGGTGGTCACTAATGAAGGGGGCCCGTCTTACCAGGGCACATACCCTGCCCGCACCATCCCACACCTCTAGGCCTGGGGTAGGCCAGGGGTGTAAGACGGGAGGGTGGGCCTGCAGAGGCCAGGCAGAAGCCGAGGCCGGGGGAGGCTGCGGAGCTCAGAGACCCGCCCCGTGAACTTGCTATTACACGTGCCTTCCGAGAGGCTGCTTCCCCTCCGCGGAGCAACCTTGGTGCCGCCGCCCATCTGAATCCGAAATGAATTCAATTTAGCCTGGTGTAATTGCTTATTTGATTCCCGCGGATGACATGCAGTTAGGAGGGAAATTGACATTCTGTCATTTCTGTTCCAATGAACGGAACTCCGACAAGCTCCCTCCTAGGTACTTTGTGGCAGCCGGGCCACCTGCTCTTCTTCTAAAGAGAAATTAGAGCGTGTGGGGAGCTGGGAATACAGGATCCCGAGCCGGGTGTCTTTTTAGAGAGTTGTGAAACAGATGAATCACCGAGGCCGCCGGGGGTGCGCCCGAACCTCCATTTCCCCTGCCTGACACAATAGCCCTCCTTCCAGAGAGCACTCGATGTGGTTTTCTGAGCTAGAGATACGAATTCTCGCAATTGTCATCCAGAGATGATTTGTATTCAAGGTCAATTTTTTTTTTAAAAAAAAATGCAAATGATTTAGGAGTTTGGAGACATCCCCAGGTGGATTCACCAAAGGACTCACAGCTCCGGACATGGAGAGTGCATTGAAGTCCCAGGTGCCTGACATCCCCCCTGCGCAGACCACGGCATGACCACGGTGTCTTGGATGATGCTCACAAGCTGGGGAAAGGCCATCAGGAGGCGAACACAGTCCACAGGACTTGAACAGAGGGGACAAACGTCCAATGTCAACGTCCCTGGAAACTTCCACGTACCCTGAGCAGACATGATGTGGACCATGATCCTGTGACGTGGCAAGAAAAACATTCATATTTTTAAATATTAAACCACAGAACCGTGCTTCCTGATGGGGGCCATTTTCCTCTTCCCCTTAGAGACATTTGGCCCCACGAAGGCCTCTTCGGTTGTCCCAGTGGGAGGGACGCTAAGGGCAGCTAGCGAACAGAGGCCCGGGATGCTGGCACCTGCCCCACGGCACACAGGACGCCGTCCACCAGGCGGAACTGCCTGCTCTAACTGTGGATGATGCCGGGTTCCAGAAATGCATGTTGTTAGATCAGGAGCCTCGGCAGGTGACTGAGGCCCTGCAGAAGCGGGTGAATTAGGGAGGACGGTCTCTGCTGGCCTGGGGAAGCTCCTCCCTGATCTGAGAAAGCTGGGGCCCTCGCCTCTAGATCCATTGCGTTTCCTCCCTGTGGCAAACCCTCCGTCGGCTGCCTGACTTTCCCAGGAGAAGTCCAACCCGCGCAGCGCGGCCCTGCAGACCCTGCGTGAGCACCTTCATCACCTCCTGCAGCAAGGAGGAGAAAGCTGAGCCTGGGGCGTGGATCAGAGAACCCTGCTCCCAGATCAAGTCCGAGGGAAGGTGAAGAAAGAACATTTAAAAATAACCGGTCATTCCTGGGCCTGCAGAGAGTGAGGGCAAGGCCGTGGGTGGCAAAGGAATCCCCTGCAGGACCCAGGGGGGTTGTTAGCAGATGAATCCTGATTTGTACTGAAGATGTGCCAGAGTCATCAACATGAAAAGGGGGGGGGGGAATACGCACGTATCCTGTCCTTTTCAACTTCCTCTTGGGCTCAGAGCGTTATTTTCTGTGCAGTGGCCGTGGGGTTCTGGAAGAGAGACGGCTGGTGAAGATCTGATTTCAGGACCCCAGACCCGTGACGCGGTGTCACACTGCTGAGAAAACAACTCACTGCACTTTGGGGAAGATACACACGGCTCTTCCCCGCTTCGTATTGAGCTGATTCCTTTTCTCCGGCCTCGTGTCCTACTGAGACGGGACAGAAGGCGGCCTGGATTTCCTTGGGCTGCACGCGGCTCGGACCTCTGCTGCCCAGGTGGGTGACCTCAGGCTTCCTTGGGGCTGCTGAGAACCGCGGGCCTCTTCCTGCAAGTTATTTCCTGCCCTGGGTCTGGGCTCTGCTCCTACGTCTTAAACTTCCGTAGTCTTATCCTCTGTTATTCTTGCTCATCTTTCTGATCTTGGAGCAGACTTTATTTTCGAGGGACATTGCCTGATTTGCTCCCGACCTGATCTAGTTTCCTGCTTTGTGCCCCCTGCCCCATGCCTCCTTGGTCACGCTTTCCTCAGTGCATGCCTCTCTCTGGTTTTTGATGGGCAGCTCCCTGGGGGTGAGGGCAGGGCGGTATGCATACACCTGGCCTGAAGGCATGAGCAGGGTTGGGGGACTGAGACGACCCCTCCCCCTGCTGGCCTGTCCTGTCCCTGCTGACATGTCCACGGCTGTGTTGGCAGAGCCCGGCACAGTGCCTGGCACAGAGCAGGCCCCCAGGAATCGCAGATTGATTGGCACAGCCTGGCCGGGCCCCGCACTGTCCATCACTGGGATTGGAAAGAAAAGCTGCTTCCCACACAGAGTGGCCTCGCGGGCCCGCAAGGCCGCCGCGCCTGCCCATCAGCATGCGGCTTACGCTGCCCGCCTCGGCCGAGCTGCGATCTCAATAGCTCAGGAGCCTGGGGCAGCTCTGCCCGGGGACCTGCCAGAGTCCACCTGGGAGCCCGGCGAGGCCGAGGCTGGGGCGGCCTGTTCTCAGAACTTCCCCAACCCTAACCCAGGAAAGAAGTCACCCCTGTCCCCAAGGTCTCTGTCTGCATGGCCCTGGGGAAACAGGTCCACCTCTCCAAGCCTGGGTCCCTGCACCTGTAAAAAGGGTCTCCACCACCCAGGGTACACGGGGGAATGCACAGGGTGTTCATATGCAGTGCCCAGCCCTGAATGTGTGTGTGTGTGTGTGTGTGTGTGTGTGTGTGTGTGTGTGTGCACGCGCATGTGCATGTCTGGATCCGCCTCTGATTGGCTCCCCTTGTGGCCCGAGACTGAGGCGAAAGGAAGTGGAGGAGTTAGACATCAGGACAGCAGTCTGCCTCTGGGCCTTGCTGCGAGTCTTACCCACGTTCCCTGGTGGAGGAGGCTCATTCCCAAGGGGCCACCGAGCCCAGGTACAGCACCAGACGCGTCCACACTGCCACCAGGAGAATGAAAGGATATCAGCGTGGGAACTCCAGGGGACACAGGTGCCCCTTGCGCTGATCAGGACAGGTGGATCCAAAGCTGCCAGAGACCCAGAGCTCAGTCCTGATGCCACCGCAGAGGCCACCTGGGCAAGGTGTGGGCCCCCAGCGGAAACCTCCCCATCGGCTGCTCGGCATGAAGAAAGCTCTTCTGCTCACCAACGGCATCAGGTAGCTGCTTACTGCTACTCACCGGAATAAGGTTCCGGGTAAACAACACACAGAGGCTGGCGACGCGTGTGACAATGGCTCTGGAAAGACAGACGCGATTCTGTCGCCTGCCGGCTTGGAGCTGGGAAGCATCATTAGAAGAGATTCCAACCTGAGACTCTCGCATTCTGCATCCCAGTGTCTGGGGTCAGCGAGAGTCTAAAGAGGCTCACCCTCCCCGGCCGTCCCCTCTCCAGTCGTCCCTGGGGCCCTCTTGGGGCTCAGCCCTCTGCTGGGCACTAGGAGGGAGACAGAACAATAAGATGGAATCATTTCCTAGAAATGGCTACATTCGCATGGGGGGGGGGATATTTGAACTATGAGTGACCATATGAGTCACGGATTCAACTAATATTTATTGAGCATCTCCTACATTCCAGGAATCGCACTGGGCATTCAGGATACAGAGGCAAGCCAAACAGAGGTTTGTCCTTCCACGAAAGTACTATTGCTCCTGGGAAGGGACAAGCAAATAAATGGGTCATGGATACCTCTCAGGGCCACATGCTTTTGCAGAGGCCCTGCAGAGGACCCACCGGGGGCTTCAGGAGTGGCGGTGAGGGTGGCCACAGCCCTGGGAGCAGGGGGGCCTTTAACCGTCGCAGACCATGTGACCTCCCTGCAGTGCCGAGCAGCCTTCTACGAGGAGCAAACACCCCACAGAGAAGAGGTCACGGGAAAGCTAAATCAAAACCCAGCTTCTAGGGGCTGGGGCAGGGGCTCAGGAGTAGAGCGCTCGCCTGGCATCTGGGAGGCCCTGGGTTCGCTCCTTAGCACCACATAAAAACGAATGAATAAATAAAATGAAGGATGGTGAAATGGGGCGAGCAGGACCCACGTCTGCTCTGGACGGGAGTGAGATGCCTGATGAGGGCCCATCCAGCCAGGTTCCAGCGACTGGGAGAGTTGGGCACAGCAAGGGGCTGTCCTGGGCCAGCTGTCTCCAGGGGACGTTGCCCTCGATCTCTGCCCAGCACCTTCCTAAGGGGGAAAGGCACTCTGGTGGAGAGTGCAGGGAGGCCAGTGAGGAGGCCAGCCTCCGTGCATCAACTCTTCGTGATTCGGTGAAAAGACAGAAAGCAGATCAAACCCACCCCTGGGGCCTGCAGAACACACCCCGCCC